ACCCGGCAGCCTCCCCACCACTCCCCAGCTCAAGCTGGGCTGCCCTGCAGACCAGGAATGCAGACGGCCTGGACCAACAGCCACAGTCCTCTCTGCTTTTCTTTGGCAAAATGCCCAAGTGAAAGACGAGGGCACATCCAGGGAGCACCGGCATTTGCAGCCCTAACAGCCCTGCAGACAGGAATGGGAATCTGCGCCTGCACCAAGGTATCCAACACCAGTGTGCGGAAAGAAATCCCTTGCCAGTGGGGAAATGTGAGCAGCTATTTCTTTGGCTCCAGGAGCCCCCGTCCTCCTGCCCCATGTCATCTTCTCGCAGCCCACGCTGCCAACCAGCCCCTGTCGGGGTGCAGGAGCCCTGCAGGTTCTGCTGCCTGGAACGGCCTCCAACTGGCAGCGAAGGGGCCAACACAGCCCCCGGGGGGAGTGGGGGCAGGCTGCCTAATCCATCCTGCCCCATGGGGAACCACCTGAGAAGCTGGAACCCCACTTACCTGGGCGTTCAGGTGTGATCCAGCCCGGGGAGAAAGAGCCAGGACTCGCCACCCATGGCGGGTGAGGGGACCATGTCCTGCCTCCTTGGTCCCTCTGCCTGCCTCACCTGGGAGGTGCAGGGCTCTGGGTCCCACCCTGCCATCGCTGGACCCCACTGCCCACCCTACTGCAGCCAGGCTGTTGAGTGCGGGACACCGGACTTGCAGCCAAATCCCCTCCAGCTACACCTCGCCAGCCCCAGGGGATTTTTCTCTCCTCCATAGCTGCATGCTGAGATGCCTCTTCTGTCCCCCAGCGCATCCTTCTCCTGCCTTGCCTGTCACTCGCTCACCCTGTCCCCTCGTCCCCTGGTGCTGCACTGCCACACGCAGCGGCGGGTGCACCGCGCTCAGCTTTACCGGGCTTTATCTGAGCACCAGAGCACCTGGAGACGGACTAAGGGAGCTCCTCTGCACCCAGCATCCTCCCAAAGCACTGCTTTCCCTTACCCAGGAGTGAAGATTAAATCATCAGATTACAGCAGTGAGTCAACCACTGCCACTCTGCCCGCCCTTGGAAGAGCCCGTAAAAATCTCAGCGGCTGTGCAGGGCCAGGCAGATCCCATCTTACATTTATCCACAGAAGAAACAGGTCATCTGGAAATAAACCTTGAAGTAAGGGTTTGGCAAGGAGCAGAAAGGACGACGTCAGAGATGCTCAAGGTACGAGTCCTGTGAGCGGGCCCCAGCCTTTGCTAAGCTCTGCCGGGAGTACGGATCCTGCAGATCCTGAAGATGCCAGCGGAGCTGCCTGGTGGCAGAGCCGGGCATGGCCACATGCTGGCCTGGCTTCCCCACGGGGCCCTGTCCCGGCACGCTTGGCCGCCCAGCAACGCCTGCTCCATGCAGAAGTGTCACCCCAACACATACACACAAGTCCCAAACAGAAAAGACGTTAAATCCCTCCCCCGGCCCCGGGGTGCCCCTTGGCACAGGAGCCCTGACCACAGCATCCCGGGCAGACCCTGGGAGCGGCTTCAGAGCTGAAGGTACGGAAATTAAAAACATTCACCACTGAAGTAATACTAATTCTGCAGCAAATTGAAAGTTTACAGGAACATACATGCTCTGAACATCGGCTGTGGTCTGCAGAGGATGGCGAGACGTCTTCTGAAACGGGCGCCGGAGTCACGAGACCCCTCACCAGAAACCGGCCCCCGCGCGAGGCTTCCCCAGGCTTCGTCTGGTGCAGGGCATCGCATGAACCCTCTCGGCAATCTGGCACAATTTGCAGTTTTTCTGGGGTTTTGTTTTGTTTCCTCCAGCCCAGGTCAGTACCTGGGACCATGGGCTCACAGCTTGCATCCCCCGCACGCACAGGGCACTGCCCGCCTGAAATTTAATGTTAAATGGGGCAAGGACACCTGGCGGCCTGCTCCCTGGCAGGCGGGACACCAGCTTTGGCTTCTAGCAGCCTTTTTTCCTCAATGAATCATTCGAGGAGAAAATAATTTCAAAAGGTAAGAGTTTGAGGTTTATAAAAGATCTACAAACCAGAATTCCCTTTGTAGGATTCCTCGCGATTCCTAGAATTCCATCCCCATTTTCCTCCTCTGGGCATGGAACCGTGCGTATTTACATTAGAATTGGTAGTGGTTCAGAAAACAGACATTTTGGTTGTTCGGTTTTTTTGCAAACCAACCGAACGGGTGTGCAATAACAGAGGAATAGCAGCCAAAGGGTGCTCACGCTTGGGGCTCACCCTGCTGCCAGCCCAACAGCCAGCCGGAGCTGCCAACCGGCCACCGATGGGCAACCCCTGCCTGTCCCTGCCTGTCTCTGCCCCTCTCTGCCTGCCCCTGCCCGTCCCTGTCTGCTCCTGCCTGTCCCTGCCCACCCCTGCCTGCCCCTGCCCTCCTGCACTGCTTTTTTAAATGATGCAGAAGGTCCTGGATTGCTGAATAAAACCCACGGGGATTTTTGGCTGAAATCAGGTAAATCGGGATGCCTGTAAAACTGATGGGTTTTGAGGCTTTAAGATAATAGCAGAGGGTGTAAAGTAGAAAAGTTACCTTTATAAATAGCCCTCAGTGCAGCCCTTCTGTAGAGGGCACGTTTTCCATTGGTAAATTGTAAACCGAGAATATAAATGTGTTGTTTTGGTAGAATATTAATATCCTCTACAGAGCTGCTAAATTTCGACAGTGTCTGTGAAAAACCAGGAGAAAGATTTATGAGAGTGCCGACGGAGTGTATCAAAACTGCAAACTGCTCCAGATGTTTAAAAATAAACCGAAATTAAATAATAAAAAAAAAAAAAATTCCCACCTTTCGCTTAGAAAAAGATTTGCTCTGATTTACAAGGACCGGCATGGAATTCTTGTGGAGTCGGAATGTCTGAGTGTAGGAACGGCCGTGTGGCGAGGCGCGGGCCGGCAAGGGAGGAAGGCGGCTTTGGTGAGCCAGGCGGACGGTATATACAACGCGTTTAAAAATACCGGTCTATAAGCAGACTTCTCCACACTGATCAAATGTATTCCTGTCTGGAACAAAAGGTTCCTCTAAGACAAGCTCACAGTCATGGCAAGCTTCAGCACAACGCTTTAAGATATCAACCATGCTTAGCATTCAACAGAAACGGTTTGTGGGTAGCTAGGGTCACGGGAATCTCAGCATCCGATGTCAAAAATTACAAAGACTGTCGCAATTTGGTGTATTTCTGTTTAAAAACCCTACTAGTCACCACCAGCTAGAGTTCCTAGAAGTATCACTGACTCTTAACTTGAACCCCGAACACCTCCAGCTAGGGAAAACCAAGCTAGCGAGTGGCACGGACATGGAAAGGCCTCCTAAACCAAGCGGCCGGCGCATTTCGCATGAGGGTATGTATGTCTGCACTGCTAATCCCGGAAGACTAGTGTCGGTATGTACAAGGCGATCTGGAGTTTCGGACTGTGAGGAGAGGGCAGGCGGGCGGCCGCACCGCGCCTACACGTTAATGACAAACTCGGGGTTAGTGTAGGAGAATCCAGCAAACTCGTTCTGGTCCAAGTTCATGATGAAGAGTTTGTCCGTGGGCGTGAGCTCCACCGGCTGCCGGGTGAACTCTTTGTCGAAGTTGGAAGTGTCGCGTTTGTCCTTCTGTTAAATGGAAAGCACAGAGTTAAAGGCAGCAAAGGGGGGA